CCCCAAAACCCCAAAACCCCAAAACCCCTTGTATTATAAATATGGTCTATGGAGGCTGAATTTAAATTAGTAAATAAATTTTCCAACGTCTAGTTTACAAATCAAATATGAGCAATACAAGTCAAGATAAATAAAAGCTAGCTATATAGTAGGATCTAAGGGAAGAATTAATAAAAAAGTCAGAATACTCTTCATTCCTAAATGAAACTGAACTTAAAAAGACTACATTACCTTTAATGGCTGCAGTAGCGATATCCAATATACTTTACACAAATATGCATTCATTTTATCCATTATATATTGAGAACAACTTTCCCTAGCTTCAATCAACTCACTTTGGGATTATTTTGGCTATATTTGAGGTCGCAAATTTGGTAACTTCTCTAGTACTTGGAATGTATATTGGCTAAGTAAAGAGGAAAAATCTGATTATCTTTTCATATTTCATTTTGTTTTTGGGGACATTAGCTTTTACTGGTTTACCTCTATTGAGATCTGAGCAATATATGACGTTTTTCATTCTTAGCTTGGCATTTAGAGTCGTTCAAGGTACTGCAAGTGCTGCTATTCAAATATGTGCTTATTCCTTTGCTACCAACGAGATGAATAATGAAAAAGAAACTTACATCGGATATGTTGAAATGGCTTTAGGAGTAGGTGATATGATTGGTCCTGCTATTGGGAGTATTATTTATGATTATTCGGGTTTCACTGGTGCATTCATATGTTTTAGTGGTATGGTGATGGTGGGAATTATTCTGTCAATTGTACAAATTCCAAATACTTTAAATAAGCGAAGTGAAACTAGATCAGTTGAGAATGAATCTGAATCTGATAATTTAGATGCAATTGAAGATCAAACTGATTCCTAATAATCTCGTGAATATCAAGATCTAAGGTATATAGATTTCTTAACAAATATTGAATGCTTGGTGTTGCTACTAAGTGCATGCTTCTCAGTGGTATTTACTCTCTATATTGATGTAATATTGGCTGTATATATTCATTCCCATTATGGAATAAAGTAGAATTTGATTGGACTATTCTTTTTCCTGCCTTCAATTTTTTATGTGATTGGGGCTCCTCTTAGTGCTTGGCTATCAAGAGTAATTCATAAAAGGTATGTTGTGCTAATATCATTCATTCTTATGGTGTTTCAATCCTTTTGTGAAGGTCCAAGCTAGCTCTTTGGAATGCCTAACTCAATAATCCTGATTATTGTAGGAGTTTCGATTCTTGGTCTTTGCTTATCAATGGCTTTAGTTCCATTGCTATCTGAACTCATTGAAATTTTAGAAGGAATGGATAAGTATGATCCAGATTAAATCAGTGATATCACCTCAGGGTTATTCAACTCTATGTTCAATCTAGGAAATCTGCTGGCACCTCTGATTGCAGGTATATTAAATGATTCTCATGGATATGTTTACACCTGCGATTTCATGATGATTACTGCTGCTATTTACTGTGTATTTTTCTACTTTACCATGATATTCGGAAGAAAACTTACTTGACTACTTGTGAAACAACTACTAATATTTAATTATAATCTCTATTTTATTCAACACTTTAGATTCTTGGGGTTTTGGGGTTTTGGGGTTTTGGGGAGATCGGAAGAGC